TTTAGATGGAATTTCGCTCTTGTTGCCCAGGCTGGAGTGCAGTGATGCGATCTTGGCTCACTGTAACCTCCGACTCCCAGGTTCAAGCGATTCTCCTGCCTCAGCCTCCCAAGTAGCTGATAGTATAGGCAATTGTCACCACACCCAACTAATATTTTGTATTGTTAGTAGAGACGGAGTTTCACTATGTTGGCCAGGCTGGTCTCAAACTCCTGACCTCAGGTGACCCACCTGCCTCTGTCTCCCAAAGTGCTGGGATTACTGGTGTGAGCCACCATGCCCAGCTGTTTTTTGTTGTTGTTGTTGTTGTTGTTTTTATGGAACTATTGTTCTCTCTCTAAAATATTCTGGAATATTATCCCTAGGACTATTTTGTTTATCACAAATTCAAATGTTTTGCCTTCCCATACTCTACTGGGGACTTTGTTTCTTTTTCTCTGCTTCAGGCCTCCTCTGCCCCATTGTCAAAAACAGTAAAGAACCTCAACCACCAATGAAGCTCATGAGCTCCAACGTCAATGACAATTCAGTATGGTCTGAAATTAAACAACTAGAGAGAGCAGAGTGGCAAGTTGAATCATGGGTTCCTGAATTGAGTCAAGTCACCTGGCTTCTGGATACTGACCAGTTTTATGACTTTGATAAATTCACTTTCTCTGAGTTTTTGGTTTCCTCATCTCCTTAAGGAAATGTTGCACCAAGCAGACTTTCAGCTTTGACAGTCTTGATTACATTTTAAACTGTATTTTTTTTTTTTTTCAATAATTTGGGGCTTCTTTCTTTCACTTTACCTAGAAAATATTGAGTTTGATGCTTACATGGTCATGTTTTTGTTTTATGCTTTTTTTTTTTTTTTTTTTTTTTTTTTTTTTTTTTTTTTTTTTTTTTGAGATAGAGCTCGCTCTTGTTGCTCAGGCTGGAGTGCAGTGGCGCAATCTCAGCTCACCACAACCTCTGCCTCTGGGCTCAAGAGATACTCCTGCCTCAGCCTCCCAGGTAGCTGGAATTACAGGCATGTACCACCATGCCCGACTAATTTTGTATTTTTGGTAGAGACAGGGTTTCTCCATGTTGGTCAGGCTGGTCTCGAACTCCTGACCTCAGGTAATCAGCCTGCCTCAGCCTCCCAAAGTGCTGGGATTATAAGCGTGAGCCACCACACCTGACCTTTGTTTTATGCTTTTTAATTTTCACTTATGTTTTACAGTAAATGATAAATTCATGCAGAAAAACTTGAAATAGTACAGAAAAGGAAAAGAAAGCTCTCCCATCCCCAATACCCAGTTTCTTCTGCAGAGGTACTCAATGTTGCCACTCTCAGGTGGAAAAATCTCTTTGGAGATTTGCTGCACAGGCATAATATGCCCCACCTTTTCTCGCCACAAATAATAGCATGCTCATCATACAGCTCTGTCCTTTGGGTTTTTCCCCTCCTGGACAATCTCTAAGAAACATTGGAATCATCATATAGAATTTCTCTAAATGGATGGATCACATTTCCCACTGATGGACATTAAGAGCATTCTTAATCTTTTGCAACTATAAACAATACTGTTGTGAATATCCTTGTACAAACTGCTCTGTTGGAATGTGCTTTACTTTGAAAAGAAAACTATCATCTAAGTTCCATTCTTTTCCAGACTCTACAGTTAATAATGAGAGATGTTTAGCCTGAATGATCAAATCTGAATGAAGTGGAAAAAAAACCAATGTCTCCACCATTACTTCCTGTGAATCTCTCTCGTAGGGGCTAGTGTTTTGAAGACTCATATAGGTGTAGCTTGGGAAGAGCTCTTCTGCAAGTCTGAAACTCCCCCAGATTAGGATTCAGATATTAATAAAATCTGCTGAGCAGTATCTGGTTGCTCTGTGGCTTTGAGTAACACAGTACATTCTGCTTGTGAGTAAGCCGAATGGAGCTTTTCGGATACCTACGAGAGCAGTCTATCTACCTAAGTGACTGATAATAGTCCTACTAGAATTTTTCATGTCAGTAAATTACCAGGCCTGAGTTAGTTTTTAAATTTTTCAAAGTGTCTAAGTTATAAAAATTAACATAAGGCCGGGTATGGTGGCTCATGCCTGTAATCTCAGCACTTTGGGAGGCTGAGGCAGGTGGATCACTTGAGGCTAGGAGTTGGAGAACAGACTGGCCAACATGGCAAAAACTGTCTCTACTAAAAATAAAAAAATTAGCGGGGCAGGGTGGTGGATGACTGTAATCCCAGCTACTCGGGAGACTGAGACAGGAGAATTGCTTGAACCCGGGAGGCAGAGGTTGCAGTGAGCCGAGATTGCACCACGGCACTCCAGTCTGGGCGATAGAGTAACACTTTGTCTCAAAACAACAACATAGGATTCACAATCTGCACCTTTGAAGCCTTTCTTTTTTTCCTAACCTGGGGATTTCTGATATCGAAACTATTGGGCATCTTTTTTGTTTATAGTAGTTATATCAGACACTACCATATTAAGTATAGCTACTAATAAGAACATACTTTTATAGAAGGTTCAGAAATGGCTGTTTCTTGAAATAATTATCATTCTTCCGTCTGTGCCTCTCTTTCCTGGCTTGAAATAGGTATCATGAATTAAACCCTTCTGGGTGTCTGGATTTTGTCTTCCTTGAATCTGCATTTAAGATAACTTTTTCCCTATGACACCACCTGTGCACAATCCTTTACCTCCCACCCCAGGCCTTCAAGTAGAGGTTGTAATTATACTGTAACAAGCTCTAGAAGTGAAATACTCATTTCAGGTTTTTTGGCATCAGTCAAGACTACTTTTTCTCCTGTTCTTAATCTAAGAGCATAAGCAATGCCAGCTGGTTTTACTCATTCACCAGATCGTTTCCTGAGCTTTCCCTGAGTACCTGGGATTGTGCCAGGAGGTGAGAGTCCTTGGTGATGGGCTTAATTCTAAGACGGAAACCTAGGCTGTCTAGGCAATATACTCTGATATCTTCCCTTTTACTAGCATGTTATTGGGCTCAGAGTTGTAAATCCATCCAGGCTCTCCTCGAGCCCTTCCTCTTAGCAACCCAAGCAACATTTGGGTCTCTATTTTGATGACCTGCTATGTGTGTACTTTCTTGCAAACAATGAAGGCAGACTGTCTTTACAGGGTTGCTCTCAGGCTTCAGCAGTTGTTCCTTTTCTTCAGTCTAAGATGCGACAGAAGATGGCCAAGGACAGTTACATGGGGTACAAGAGGATCTCGATTTTGGTCTTGATTGTGCTTGCCACTAACCAGGGCACATCCCTTAACCTTTCTGGGTTAGAGTCCCTGTTCCATAAAATGAGGGGATGGACTAGTTTCTCAGGTTCCTCATGTAGCCTAACAGTTTCACATTCCATAAGCCACACATAAAAATCCATCTCATTTCTTCATAACTCCTTTCTACCAGCCCATTAGTTCTTATGAAGGCAGGAGCTATTTTTCCAAGTTTAAGTCCAGTGTGTGACACACAGCAGGAATTGCAATAACAATTTGAGTGAGCATATGAATAAAAAAAGAACATTTTTATCCCACCTTCACCTCCATCCTGGAGAAGTCTCTGCCATGGAATTCTTCCTCAAAGAAATCTATTCTTCTCTAGAAAACCTTCAGTGTTGGTATTGTCTTTCAAATATATATATGTCTTTCAAATATACACATATATTATGCATTTAATACATACATTTAATATATAGAGGTTTGGACTACTTAAATTCATTTAAGAAAATTTACTTATAAATCATATTTCTATATAATATCCATAACAAACTGAAGATTAAAAATATTTAACTTAAGCCACTGAGCACAGTGACTTCCACCTGCAATCCCAGCACTTTGGGAGGTCAAGGTGGGAGGACTGCTTGGGCCCAGGAGTTACAGACCAGCCTAGGCATCAACATAGTGATACCTTGTCTCTATTAAAAATATATACATATGCACACACATATATATATGCATGTGAAATATTATAAAACATACATATATTACAAAATATTTTAAAGCTAATGATACCAAATATAGCAAAAATTGAGAGTTTTTCTTCAAAAATGAAGTGAGTATATAAAATTATACTTTGTTGTCTTTGGCCCTGACCTAGGAAGTAGTAGACTGGAAAGCATGGTTTTCTTGATTACATGACATTGCCCAGCAAAAGTTAAGCAAATTTGACTGGTAAACAATTTTGAGAAAAACTAGCACTTTTTAAAATGCATTTTTGTTGAAATACCAATTATAGAATTTAAGGATTTTTAAATTATTTTTGTAAAGTGGAGTTCTATATACTGAAATTTTATTGGTTGTTAAATGCAGATAGATATTTTCTAAAAAATTTAAAACACTTCTCATGCCTTTATCCAGTCACAATATGTTTAGCATTTCTGCGTAATTTCTTTCTCACTAATTTCTCCCTTTGAATACACATTTTTTTCTCAATCAGATATATGAAGTCCTCCTTATATGTCAGCTCCTGAGAGGTGCTTTCTGTTACATGTTGCTTATCAATTCTTGGTTCATGTGCCAAAGATCGAATGCCCTCCTTACCTCTGCCATAAATACACAAATTAACTGAGAAAGTACACACACACACACACACACACTCTACACACACACACACACACACACACACACACACACAGAGATTGAGAGAGAGAGAGAAATGTTCTGGTGAAATTATCTCATAAGTTGTGATAACTTTTGTGGAATTTGCCTTAGACCACTATGTTCTATGTAAGACTTAAAAGTACTCTAGACAGGGAAGGTGTGAAATGAGATTTTAACAGAAACAAAAGCCGAGACTAGATGAGTCAGGATTGGGGCCAGTATTTAAGCCTCCATGAATTGAATTAAGGTAATAATTACTTAAACAGTAATGGTTAACAGGAAAGTACTTTGGACGGAATCTCGGGAATCTATACTCCAAAGCACAAAACATTCTGATGGTCTATTTTTGATAAGGTATTGTGGGCCCTGGTCATTAATCTCCTGTATGTTCTTCCCTCCTGCAGTGATGAATCACCAACACCAGCAGCAGATGGCCCCCAGTACCCTGAGCCAGCAGAACCACCCCACTCAGAACCCACCCGCAGGGCTCATGAGTATGCCCAATGCGCTGACAACTCAGCAGCAGCAGCAGCAGAAACTGCGGCTTCAGAGAATCCAGATGGAGAGAGAAAGGATTCGAATGCGCCAAGAGGAGCTCATGAGGCAGGTATGGCCTTCCGTGGTGTCTGGTGGAGGCTCCCTGGCCCTTGGTGCCAAAGCTGATGGGTAGAAAGCTGCTTACCTTCAGGGTAATGCTTCTAGAGAAGAAGAGAGAATGGGGCTCAAAGCCCTACTGGAAGCCTCCTGATTATAATATAGTTTCTTGAAACTCTCAGTGTTCTGCCTGCATTTTCAGAACCAAATTTAAGAGTACAAGGATGAGCTATATTAGCATGGCTGCCGTTGGTTTCCACTGCTAGTCTTTAGAAGGAAAGAAAGGAGAAAATAGAGAGACAAGAGCATGTTCCAATGATCTGTTGTTGTGTAACAAATTATCCCAAAATGTAGTTGCTTAAATAGCCATTTCATTATATCACACAATTTTGTGGGTCAGAATTTAGAAAGGGCTCACCTGGGCTATTCTTCTGCTCTACATGGCATTGACTGAGGTCATTTAGTGGTATTCAGCTGGTAGGTGGGTTCGTCTGGATAGTCCACAATGGCATTACCTAAGTGGGTGGCACAATGGTGAGGATTGCTGGAAGACTGGGCTTAGCTGGAACAAAAGCCTGGGATCTATGATGTGGCAATCTCAGAGTAGTGGTGCTTATTACATAGCAGCTTGGATTTTCAAGAAAAAGCATTCTAAGAGACAGGAAGAGAGAGTTGCCAGTTTCTGGGCGCCTAGCTCTGGAAATGATCATGGAGTAGCTTTTGCTATGCTGTCTTGGTCAAGGTAGTCACAGAGAACCCCCCTCCCCCACATTTAAGCAGTTAGTGGAGTGGACATTTCCTCAGAAGAAATGACAAAGAATCTTGGTCCACCACAGAGCATGAAAAAAAGGGAAGCTGAAGGGAGAATGAGAAGGGAAAATGGTGTTTTGTTTGTTTTTTGAGATGGAGTCTCTCTCTGTCGCCCAGTCTGGAGTGCAGTGACACGATCTTGGCTCACTACAACTTCCACCTCCTGGATTCAATCAATTCTCCTGCCTCAGCCTGCTGAGTAGCTGGGATTACAGGGATTACAGGCACCTGCCACCACACCATTCATTCACTTTTCATTCTGCCAGTCAGCAGTATGTTGCCGTGTGCCCTCTGTGGGTCAGGCTCAGTGCTGTATTTCAAAAACAAATAAAAGGAGAATCCCTAAAAGAATCCACAACTTTCTCCCTGTTTCAGTGGCTTGGTCCTGGAAGAGCAGAATTCTTTCTTCTGTGTTGCTAAATTCATATAACCCATGTTTGCAGATCTCATACTTTTTCTCTGGCTACATTTTGGGGAGAAAAGCTTCAGTATATTGTTCTAACTTTTCAAACTTTGTTTTGTGACTCACATGAAGCAAGATAGATTAATAACTTCCTTTTGCTACTTTAGAGAAATTAGAGAAATAAGTAGTTTTAACATTCCAGAGAACTTTCTTGGAGGAAAGGACTGGGAACATTAGGGTAAACACTATTTTTTTTAAGCTACATTTGATACTTTCAAAAATACACATTGACTTCCATAAATAAATAATATATTTCTCATCAAATAAATTCTAGGATATAAAAAATCTATATTGTATGAGGTTTAAAATGCATAGTAGGCTGGGAGTGGTGGCTCATGCCTGTAATTTCAGCACTTTGGGAGGTGGAGGCAGGCAGATCATAGGATCAGGAGACCGAGACCATCCTGGCTAACATGATGAAACTCTGTCTCTACTAAAAATACAAAAAAATTAGCCAGGCGTGGTGGCACATGCCTGTAATCCCAGCTACTCAGGAGACTGAGGCAGGAAAATAACTTGAACCCATGGGGCGGAGGTTGTAGTGAGCCGAGATCGCGCCACTGGACTCCAGCCTGGGCGACAGTGAGACTCCGTCTCAAAAAAATGCATGGTAAATTAAAATCATTTCTCAGATATAGTATTTAAAAATAAGGGAAATGAATATAAATTGTGCTCTGTTGCTCAGCTGAACTTCCCTCCAAATTTGCGGAATACAACTTAATAATTAGGTAATTATGGTTGTGTCCTTTACCCTGAGGATTTATGTTTGAACTTTCATGGTTGTTTCAGGCTAACAGTTGTTTATACTGATTTTAGATATCTAGTGTCATGTTTCTTGATGGAAAATAATTGTATTATTAATGGTTTTATGTTTTTGAATAATAATTTTATTTGGAATAATGTTTCTATTTTATAATGTAGGGTTAATCAAACAGTATTTCAACAGCATTTTATACATTCTCAGTTTTGTATTTAAATGTTTTAGAGCTTTAGTGAGTTTCTTCTTTTCTACATAAAGATGTGACCATCCTGCAAAGATAACTTGCTTCTCTGTTTTTGCAGGTGTGCTTCTCTTTCTCTTGCTACTCCTCCTTCTTTCCCACATAAAGTATTTCTGAAAAGGAGTGGGAAAAGTGCTCCAAATTGTTTCCTTTATTCCAGCTGTAGGTGCCTTTGAACCAGGATGTAGTACTGATGGTTCATATTACAGAAATGCCACCAAGTTCCTTAAATGCTGATCCTTGGAGGCTGCGGAATGTGGGGCATTTTGCTGCATCATAGTGAGCAATTGCAGTGTATATGACAGCAGGAGAAAAGACTGTCCAGATTTGCTCACAGAGGCTCACATAGTTCAGCCTTGACTCTGCGTGCGCATTTGTGTATGTGTGTGTGTGTGTGTGTGTGTGTGTGTGGTGTGTGTATGTGGGGTGTGTGTGTGGTGTGTGTAGTTAGGAGGAGATGGGATGGTGGAATGGATGGTTCTTGTGTTCTAATGTCTTTTTATTTTTGTTAGGAAGTATAGAAAAAGGTCTAAATAGACTTTTTAATCGTGGCAGTTTTTTTTCCCATTCAGAAGCAGCATGCTCCTGAGTGTCAAAGATATGATTTAAGACCAGATAATAAACAGCGTTGGAGTGTTCTTTTTTTTTTTTAATTTTTAAAGTTTTTAGAGATGGGGTTTCATTATCTTGGCCAGGCTGGTCCTGAACTCCTGACCTCGTGACCTACCTGCCTCAGCCTCCCAAAGTGCTGGGATTAGAGGCGTGAGCCATCGCGCCCAACCTTGGAGTGTTCTATAATCATTTTCTGGGGCATTTGCCAGGATGCCTGGTTATTCAGTATTCAGGTGTGGACCGGGTGTATCATCTTTGTGGGTTTTTTGAACTCTTTTGGTGATTCTCTGCTTCACTTTTTGAACCTAAGCTACAGCAGCAGCAGGGAAACCAACTGGAATTAAAAGTGATCTTTGGCTCACTTGCTTAGTTTCCTTCTAGCATCTGGTAGGAATTTGGAGAGATGGGGGAAATGGGGGTCCTGGTGAGATTTAAAGATTATCTGTAGACTTCCGTTTGTTCTCTCTGTCCTACCCCTATGTCCTGGGTAGTCAACAACTGCCTGAATCTCCCTTGCTCAGGGGACAGTTTGTAATTACACTGGCTCTCCTGTTGCTTGCAGGCGGCCTTAATTGTACAGCTTGTCTTCTCAGGGCCCATGCCCTGCAGGCAGGCCTAGACCTACCTGTCCTTCTACCAACTGAGACTCTCTGAGAGCAAGGCCCCAGGCTATGCTCTCTCTCCATAGTAGAAAGGGATAGGCCAGGTACAATGGCTCATTCCTGTAATCCCAGCACTTTGGGAGCCCAGGTGAGCGGATCACCTGAGTTTGGGAGTTTGAGACCAGCCTGACGAACAAGGAGAAACCCCATCTCTACTAAAAATACAAAAATTAGGCTGGGCGCGGTGGCTCACGCCTATAATTCCAGCACTTTGAGAGGCCGAGACGGGCGGATCAGGAGTTCCAGACCAGCCTGGCCAAATGGTGAGACCCTGTCTCTACTAAAAATACAAAAATTAGCCAGGTGTGGTGGTGGGTGCCTGTAATCTCAGCTACTCGGGAGGCTGAGGCAGGAGAATAGTTTGAACCCTGAAGGCAGAGGTTGCAGGGAGCTGAGATCATGCCACTGCACTCCAGCATGGGTGGCAGAACGAGACTCCATCTCAAAAAAAAAAAAAAAAAAAAAAAAGAAAAAAAAAAAAAAAAGAGTGAAACTCAGTCTCAAAAAAAAAAAAAAAAGAAAGAAAGAAAGGGAGGTTGGCAAAATTTAATACCAACCTGGTAGTGTATCTGTCCCCTAATTATTGAGAAATGATCACTGCTGTCTGTAGTTTTATCATTCTTGAATGATATGATGTATCTGAAAGGTCCCTGTGGAGAATGTGCTATATAAATGTTACTTCATTTTTCTTCCTCTTCCTTCTGCTATGTCACTGTCCCACTAGGCATAGAGTTTGATTATGTTGTGTCATGAAAAAAACAACTCCTTGGTCCTTGTTGCATGATTTGATATATACCACAATGCCAAAGGATCACCTATTAACTCATTGGCATTGAAATCATGCTAGGATATTAACAAAATGGATCTAAGGAAACTTTGATTACAAATCTCAAACAAACCTTCATTATTTCAGGATGGAAGCTCATATTTTTTTTCTTTCTTCATTCCTTTATTTCTTCATTCATTCATTCAGTCAATATTTATTTAGTAGAAAATAATAGACAGGTAAATGGGATATGGCTGCCTTCAGATAAACTAGTATTTTAGTAGAAAAAAAAAAATTAACTCTAATCCAAATTGGTGGCCAGATGGGTAAATTAAAACCATTACCGGCTTCACAGGGGCCTAGTGGCTACCATCTTTGACTTTCATTCCTGGAACTGAGGCCAGATGCACCTGAGCAGAGTTCTGTGAAAGTGAGCATCAGATACTCCTTTGGCTTTCCAGTGACCCCCTCAGATCAACAAACTGTTGAACAGCTACAGAATTAGGATCAAAAGAGCCAGTAAGTTTTGCTATCTCTGCTGATAAGGAAGGAATCTTCTGAAGTAGGAGAATTTCCTTAAATGCAGTCCCTCCAATCTAGCATCGACTACTGGAGCAATAGAGCTGAGCTACTTGTGTCTGATAATTGATGAATTATCTTGGAATGTGGTAGACACTCCTAGTGGAGGGGTACCAGGGA